TTAATATCGTACATTTTTTCCCTTTTAGGTGTGATAGTCTTTCCTTTATGAATCCTTTAGAATTGAAACGTGGCTCGACGGGAAATAGATTTTAAAATAGAAAACGATAGAAAAATATGGATAATTCTAGCTTGGTGATGTGGAATATTGTTGGGAGGTTTTCATGTAGGAAGAGAATTTTCTTTTTCTTGTTTTCTTGTGAAAATGTTTGTAACTCGACATACAGTGTAGTGTAATGGGAGTGTGTTAATGTAAATACGATTTATTTGTATTAATAAATAAATGTTATGTAAATAAGTAAAAACGTATATACAGCATATAATATATAATATATAATATGTAATATATAATGTATAATATATAATGTATAATATATAATGTACAATATATAATATATAATACATAATATATAAATATATATTAAAAATACGGTTTTGAATATAGTTTAAAAATATATTTGACACAAAATATCAAATAGCACAACAATGCAAAATTATTTGTCAGAATTCTGAAATAAATTAAGTCTCAAAACTTCGAACAGAATCGTATTCCATGAAATTTTAATTCAACAAATTCAGATCGTTCTATTTCCCAGAAAATCAAGTATTATCCTTCGATTACCTATCAGTATTCAACTTTCCCAATAAAACATGGAATTCTAACGAACATAAAATTCCCTTACGTCCCAAGAAATGATTAAAATCATTGTTATTATTATCGCTAAATTTTGATTATTATTAAATTTCATTTGTAATTTTTATTATTAAATTCTATTATTATCATTTTCTTCCTAAGTCTAACAAAGAAATCATAAAGCAAAGGATTAACCTCTTGCGCTGGAAAGACGTGCCACGCACGTCGAGACGTTTTTGTTCCCAAATCGTCACTGATATGTTTCACACATTGATAATCTCGCTGCATCACACATATCACATTGTTTCGAAATGTACCACTCTATATAAAATTATTAATAAACAAAGTTAGCGTACATACCCGCGTGAAATAGGTAAAAACAAAATTTTTCTCGCGAGACTTTGCCAAATCTCTGAATTAATTCCTAATGCAAGTGGTTAAACTATTCTTCCTAAAAAACTTTTATCCATAACACTGTGCAGCTCAATTTTTCTCTTTTCTTAAAATTCAGGTTATCGAGGTTTAATTATATACAGATGGTCGTATCGAAATAATATGCACTTCGAACCGAGCGGAAGTGGACGGAAGAAACGAGCTCGAAAATTAAGAACGACTGCAGTCCGATCTTGTAAGGGACAATGGACCGGCAGAATTGGCGTTATCGATTTATACATTGTTTACGAGGCCAGTCCCGTCGATAAATCTTCATTCACGGGAGACTGACGTCGCGTATTTGGCGTTCGTTATTTTTTAATTGCTGAGCCCTCGAGGTCCGAGCCACGAGAATATTTTCTTAGCTGGGGCGGCTCGCGCATTAGCACTGCGGAACTAGAGCACCTTCAATTTTGTTTCATGTATAAATATATTTATTAACACGTTGAATGCCACGGGAGTTACTGGTGACCACGACCAAATCGAATTACCATAGTTCTCTCAATTAAAGGACCATCATTTGAAAATTCTCGGTTTATTTATTCGGGGAATATACGAAGCGAAGAATACATTTACTTAACTACTGAGCAATTATACTGACTTTTTGAAATTACTGTATAGAAGTTCTAAGAATGGATCTATTAAGAGTTTAATTGATTTGCAATTCAGTTTGCGTATTGGTAAATTAAATTCTTTTTGATTTCAAAAGCAGGAATGGGTCATTTGGAACCGTCTGGTACTTTTAGTGTTAACGTTCGCGACCAGTGTTCGTTTCAGCAGCAATCTTTATAGTTACAATGTTTTATTAAATGCAACACGTCATCTGTCTAAGAAAATAATAAATTTCAGGAAACGAATTGCGTCAACTTCTACCATTTTGCACCAAGTGTTATTGTTTTAGATACAAACGCACATCAAAGTAATGGAATTTTCTTTGTAAGATACAAGATATTAAGGTCGTGAACGAATTAAGTAGTAAAAAATAACGAACACGTTGAATCTTTGTACTTAAGAAGTATTTCACTGGAAATACTCAACATTTGCTAATGAGATGCAGACGATATTTTCTGAAACTAACTTAGTGAAAAGTCGCATATAAATCGAGGAACAAAACTATTTTACTTCAATATTTCACATATTAATGCATTATGTACAAAGTTTAGTATTAAATATCAAACTTCACAACTTTGCTGTATCAAATCAATTGCTGACTGAGAAGTTATTAAGATTAAGAGAAATTATTAATAACGTAATTAATTAGAGAAGGGCCTCTGGAGTGCAAAGGGTTAATAGAATACGTCGTTTCGCTATAATTAGAACATAATCGAATTTCTAATATAAAGTCTTACCAACACGTGTGTTACAGTGTATGTATGTTTCGAATATTATAATAGTTCATTATTGTAATATTAACACTTTTTTAAAATGTTTTACAATTTGATTAAAAATTCTCCGTTTTCCTTCGTTCATTTAACATTAAGTCAATTCCTTCGTTATCTGATTAATTAATTTTTCGAGTATTGTCTATCCTTTTGTTTGTATTTTCAGTTAGAAATGTTGACCGTTCGACTTGTTTATCTTTATTTTGCAACTAGTTATTTGACTGGTTACAATAGGTACGTGTTTGTATGGGGAAAGTGCAGGTACTTTCAGTGTTAAATAGAACTATTAAAGTTTCACGTCTCTTCGAACTGTTAGAAATACCAGTTTCACTGCAACGACGTTTCCACTGTTATATTTCGGTTTGCTAAACGAGACAGAAACATTTTTCTTCTCGCGCGAGTAAATATAAAACGTATCGCAGGCGGCGAAACATTTATTCCAGGGTTCATGCAAATGGAGCACTTTAATCTTTACAAAAGTAGGTGAAAGTTGTACGGGGTATTTCTTGAATTGGAGCAAAACCGAGAGAACGGGGAAAGTATAATGTCGTGCATGAGTATTTGGATAATTGATGTGATTTTAGTGAAATTGTTATGTTTTATTGTTATATGATATTATTAATATAGGTATAATTGTAGTTTAATAATATAAATGTTATTTACGTGATTGTTAGTATTTATTGTACACCCCCTGCGGCAGAATGATCTAAGTCCGATTTCGAGGTTCGATGTATGAAATTGAGAGCTACAAATGAATAATAGTTCCATAGTTCCATAGTTCCATAGTTCCATAGTTCCATATTTCCATAGTTCCATAGTTATATCATTATATAGTTCCATAGTTCCATAGTTCCATAGTTCTGTAGTTTCGTAGTTTCGTAGTTACATAATTATATAGTTATGTAATTCTATAGTTATACGTGTTATATACTACAGTTACAGTTATAGCTTCTATTTTCATTCCTCTTGTTCCTTTCCGTTTTCTTTGTATAGGTATTATATTTATTCTGCTGTATTATACGAGAGAGGAGATATGAATAATAGTTACACTGCGGGTGGTTATGCAAATTCGAGTGTTCGTACGGTGGTCGGGCATTAGTGATATTAAACTCACGCTCGTCTCCCTTAGGAAACTTATGAAAATTCATAAACCTTACTATTCTACTTTGTTTTGTGACACAGTCAGCGTAAGATTTAAAGTAACAAGGATCAATTAGAGTTAAGATATGTTTACAACGTGTCGGAAAACTTTTGCAGTCTAATTGGTGATTTTGTTAACTAACCTTGCTGTAACAGAATTCAGTTCATAAATTTGTATTATTGTCAAGGTTTTATTCATTGACTAAAGTTATATACCAACTTATTTTTATTATCGCAAGACAGTATTCGATTGCCGTTCAATATGAATTTGCAATTATATCTAACTTTATTTTACAATAAAAAGTCGAATCCGTGATAAATGGTTTATGAGGAATTTAATAAATATAAATTAAAAACAAATATTGTTTCTCTCTGATCAATATTTAACAATAAAATTGCAGGTATATTTATCATCGTAACTCATATCCTTTTATAGTCAGTTATTTCCTTTTGTAAGCGAGGTATTAATGAAAAAGTATTATTAACACATTCAACAGTACAAAAATTACGAGGCAAAAGTTCCGTGAAATTCATAACGAAAATTAATAAACACAAAATGTGGAGTACATTACGCAATAAAGCACTTTTTCTTAAATAAAATGTTTCTCATCTTTATCTAAATATCCAATCAAATTTATTTGTATATTTAATCCGGTGTTTAAATATTTAAGTTACTTTCTTAATTAATAATTAAACAATAAATTAATTTCTATTATTCAGTATAAAAAGTCCAGGAAACACAAATTCAAGCCTAAGAGGGCTCATTGAAACGAATTAAATGAAACAAGCGAATTAATTTATTGGAATTCTCGTATTGACAACCGAGTGACTCAGAATAACAATGGTATAACTACTGTTTCTGAGTTCTCGATGAAAAAAAGCATTTGTGAAATGTTCTTGGAATAATTAAATGCCAATATTATAAAGCTATTAATAATATAAATTATTATTGATTATTAACATTAGAAATTTAGTATTAATTGTTAATATTTACAATTATAATTATTCACATGAATAATTGAGTATTAATCATTAACATTTACAGTTACGCACTGTGCGTTTGATAGTTTTAGTGTTAACCCTTTCCGATCGTTGCCGTCACAGTGGCGACATTTAACATTTATTTTCGAAATCGGCATCTTGAATATGGCATGTACGGTTTTCTGAGTACAGTGTTATTTTATGATCGAGAGGTATTGTATTTATTATTCTTTACAGTATTTATATTCAACAAAACACATTAACTTCGGCAAGTTTCTAACATCCATATATTTATTACAAACCACTTATAGAAAAATAACTTTGAATATATATATATTTACTTCGACTAGTTGGTACTGTCACCAGAAAAATGTGCCGATCAAAAAGGGTTAAATCGAGAAACGATACTTGCCATCGGAAAGATCGACTCACCGAAAAAGCAGCAAACGAAGACGACAGTGTAGAGCGTGATGAAGATCACTTTCACGTCGGTCCTGTCGAAGATGTAGTCCTCGATCAAGGACACGTTCTGCAGGAGAGTTTCGTTCCGTATAAAACTCTCGTTGCCGCGGATCTCGTAGAGGATCGCGTCGCGGTGCTCGATCATTCTGGAACAAATCGCGGGAAAGTTCGTTTCATACGGTATCCACTGGCGAACATCCTTCTGCTCTCGTAATTTCATGGAATATCCAGGCTACCTCGCTAACTTCTTTCCACTTTTACCAGCAAAGTGGATTTGCCTCGTCTTCAGTGGCCGCCATATTGGCTGCGTTGCATTCCAACGGGAATCGTGAAATTCCTTTCTTCCGAAACAATAAGGTAGTGAGAAGTCTTGAATTGAAAATGGTTATTTGAGCTGTTTTCTTTTAAAGTGGTATACGTCCATTTTTTCAGCCGTTCTTTTTTGAATGGTATAAAACCACTTTTGGGGAAAATATGAGTTATAGATATTTTCTTTTTATGTTTATAGTCACAGAATCAATGACATACGATATCCTCATAAATTAATGAAAAGAAGTTCAACTGTGAAATGTTATCGCAGAAATGTTTTCTTTGGAATAAGTCCATTTATAGCTGAACTATTATTGCATAATAAAATTTGACAAGTTTTGTGGTTTTATGAACATTACCCGGATTGATTGTTTGTCGAAAGTGTAAAAAGTAAAGCCTGATAAGTATGGTTTACGAAGAATAGCAAAAGATAGCTCCAGATCGTTTTGTGTGTTTATCGCTAAATTTTACAATCATTTATACGAAAAACAGGACTTTTATTCCCACCCTATCCTACTTTGCAATAATCAATTCTTCGCGAAGCTGAATAAATGGAATGATAATAAATTTCTGTTACGATTACACAAGGGATTTTTATACGATTATTATTATGCGAATGCAAATTTTTCAGAGCATAATTAAAAGGTAGAATTACAATTGAAAATGCTTATTTTTCTAATGAACGCTATAATGAACGCTACATTTCAGATGTGTTACTTATTTCTTCTGTTATGTGGATTCTCTGCAATTTTGCATATGAAAATGTACTACGCGAAAATCCGCGGTCTAATAATAACTTGAAAAAGCATTTTTAGGTTACTTTATCAAAAGAACCATGCTGACTCATAATTATAATTGTTAATTAGCACTAGTAGGGAAAATGCTTATTTATATTCAACTCCTCGTTGCACTTGGCATATTGTCAGAACGAAATTAAACATTTGCTGGGAAATATAAATAGAAAGGCAGCAACTTGAATTAAACGGGTTTTTTCTTACAGTATATTCCATTTAAACGAAATACTAATAAATGAAATAAATAAATCCCAAAAATTTTACACCCACGTCGATTAATTAAAGATATAACTCAATAATATCGTACAATAACGTAAAAGTAATCTGGGTATTTAGGAAGTCATAAAATACTGATTCTTAAATTATGAATCTTCATTAAAGGGAGAAATGATAATTTTCATAATGATGGGCCACTTTACAGAGATTGAAATCAAACTGTTCAATTTACTCGCAATATTCCTATTCATTCGTATTCATATTCATTTTCAGTTGATTTTATATCTGACTTGCAAATATAAATGAAATTGTAATTACGTTTATCACAGGTTGAATCACTTCGATTTCTTTACCATTCTTCATAATTATTATTTCTGAACACGTTCGCGATTAAAAGTTATCTGACTAACAAATTAAATTTTCTATTAACTTCGGAAGAAATTGATAATATCATTGAAGTTTCTCAGATTGTCTATAATACAGTATTCACATGAACAATGTATAAAACTCGTAGTCTAATAACGACAAATCGAAAGACCTGTATTTGCAGCTGCGAACGGGCGTAGAGATTTATTAAAAACGCGAAAATTGATTTATTCCTCGTCTGTAGACGTCGGATTCACAAATAAAGGAGGCCATCGGATCAAATGTGCCGTGGATCGGCGACGGCGTGAAATATGCGGTAAGAAGGGAATTTAATCACGTCCATATTTGAAGCGCACACCCCGCCCCTGATTTAAATGCTACTTTATGTATACGATTTCGATTTTACACGGTTTTCAAAATAACAGATTTAACATTGAAACTACCAGACGACTCAAAATGACCCATTCCTGATTTCTTCTTTTTGTAATTATTAAGAAGACGACAGATGTGTCTTTGAGAAATTATTCGAGAAATTGATTTAGCAACACACGAACTGACTTGTAAATCAGTTAAAGTTTCAGTAGATGCACTCTCGGAGTTTCTGTAGAGGATTTTCAAAAAGTCAATTTATCTGCTCGGTAGTTTTAGTGTTAAAAATAAACATTCTCGCTGCGCACATACACTGTTGGTCAAAAGTTTAGGCCCTATCGGTCCTATGTTTTATTCTCTGTAGTATAGTTTTGCCAATAAGAATTATTTTGTTGGAACTTCTTTCTGTGTAAAAATGAAGAAATAATTTATAATTATGTTAAAAAATGTAGCATAAATTTGTTCGTAAATATTAGAAAATAATACATAATATATAGTACAATAATAATACAAAAAAAATGTTTTATTAAATGTACCAAGCTACACAAGTCACTATTAATAACGTAATTAATATAATTTATTATTTATATTTACCAAATGACGCGGACATCATTAATAATGGCCGGTAATTATTCATACAAACTGTATTTATTGTATCAACCGTAACACAAATACACTGTCGGTCAAAATTTGGGACCAATATATTGGTTAAAGGAAAAAGTACTATTTTTTGTAAATAACTTTTTTGGAGAATTTTTGTGTATGATGAAGGGCATATGTGTATTAGTCAAATATAAAGATATATAATTTTTGTTATTTTATTTGATATATTTATAAGATATATCGTTTTTAATTTGTGACGTCACATAAGTGTTTTCAAACTTTTGACTGGCAGTGTATTTCTATAGTAAATTTTTTATTTCATTCGATTGGTAACACTGGCGTTAAATCTAAAAAACGGAATTCCCCAGAATTTTTTGAAACGTAATATTCACTGGTTGATAAACAATTATAATTTTTGCAGCGCTTTTATAATTTAATTAAAATTGTATGGTTTCTTAGTCCGACTTTTCGTTCCATTTTTCGTGGATTTTATATTTCTCGTTTCTATGAAATGTTATATTAATGTAACATTTAGTAATCTAATATTTTTATGTTTTTCATGGTATTCCACTTTTATCTTACGTTGAAATAAACGAATTTAATTACGTACGCGACTGACTTGTTTTACATACAAAAGTCCACGATTTCGATTTACAAGATATTCCGTGGAACTTAGTGAACGATGGTAGGAGTAAATTACACTTTATGCAAATTCGCATTATTCAACCTGTATGGTGAAATTACGTTTAAGACCCTGCAGATGAGTTTGGCCTTCGGTTCATCTAACTGAGACGAAATTTCGGATAATGTTGAAGAGAATTAGCGAGCCATTAGTTCCAGGGTTTATTTAATTTTTGTTCACCTTTTCGGAAAAAAAACCGGTGAGAAATTACGTTGGTGAAAGTAGTGCAGGATTTTTTTCGTAAAAAGCAAAGTTAGACTTACTTAGCATATTTTGCCCATTTTCTGAATACAATACATCTTCCACAGGACGCAAAGTGTTTTACCGGGTACCATTTCTTACAGAAAAATTAAATTTATGAAATAAATGACTTTGTTTCGCTTTTTCCAAGAGAAAACTGCTAGTTTTTGAATGAATATTAATGTTCACCTACCGTTTATATTTTAAATAAATAAAGAATCTTCAAATAACGTTGATTGTGGAGTATTTAGTTGCAAAATGAATTCAAACTCTTCTCACATTGCAACGATGGTTTCAACAATAATTTAAATGTAATAATAATTTTATAAACAATGATTTCCAACCAAATAAGGTTTCATTAGTAATATGATATTTTTTTATCGCAACAATTGCCAATTCATGAAAAAAGAGTTTTCTGTCAGTCCATCTTTAATTTCAACAAAAATGTCTATTAATAAATATAAAATTTTATTTCACCTTGTAACTCGTAATTAAGGAAAAACAGAAAAATTAAAAGAAAAGTTAATTCAAAAACATGTCACGCGTCAGAGTTAAATTTCACGTGAAAATGTGTTAGTGACAATTCAAAGACCCCTTTGGAACGTTTAGAAAGGAGACATTAAAAATAACTGGAAGCAAAACAGGCATTATCCATAAATAAAGTGAACGGCAGCATATGGACTAATTACAGAATGATTTTATATAACTGAAAATCAACAGACGGATTCGCATTAGCAAGCGGGAACACGAATTGAGAACAGCTGCGGCCTGCACGCCATATTTGCTTCCTATTCGAACGGAGAATTCGATTTACTTTTTCATTTGTTTTTCACTGCCAGCCGACCAAACGGAGAGCGTGTAAACTGCCTTTAATCAGCTTACGTTTGATCGAATGAAGTCATTGTAACTCTCCGCTGACGAGAATAACTACGCCGTACTAACAAGACTCGCCGCGGGACGGGTTATAGTTTGGCAACTACTGTGAATTAATACTAATAATTTGACACGTATAGTGTAGAATATATTTCTATTCTTATAAATATAAATACTAGGTTTTATATCTGATAAAAATATTCTTTTATATTACTATTTAATGAAAATTATTTTTATATTCAATATTTAACATAAAAAACATACATTAATATTATTTTAAAGTCATATTGTTAAGTTTATTCCAAAAGTTTAGTTTAAATTTGAAGATATGACTTTTGGCTAGGATTTCAGTGTTTTAGGCAACTGTATGAATTAGTACCAATAAACTGATATGCATAGTGTAATTTTTATTCTTATAAATATAAATAGTAGGTTTTATATTTAAAAAAATATTATTTTACATTATTATTGTAGTATCTAGAATATTTATTGTAGGATGAATGGTTTGTTGTGCGTGCGTAAGGGCGACCAGGTCGTATTGCGACGGACCGGCGCCGGGATGTTTGGAAAATAGTGTGACTGCGTTTAGACAATCTCGAGTGGCTGAAAGAATGCG